GGGTGGATCTAGCTGCATATTAAAATATGGAGGCCTCCCAAAGACTTCCTGGAAGAAGGAACATAGAGAGAAACCTGTTGTTTGGGTCAAATGCGGGTGACTCTTCAGCCCACGCTGGTCGCCAGATGTGGAGATGGGCGCCTCCCGTTTCCAGACCCGCCCGCGTGGACTCCGAGCTTGTTTGGAAAGATCCTTGCCCTCGCAGGCTTCGTTGCTGTGACTCAAGGAAGCGTATGAACCAAAGCCTTCGTCCAACACTGCCAATGCTGCCAGACGTTGAGTTCCCTCTTTGCCTCTGTGAAGTAAAAAGCGATGATGTTGAGAAGCACAGCTGGAGCCGACAGATGCAGATGAAAACCTGAGTTATGCCACAATCAAACAGTCGAGGCATCTTTCTTGATTCAGAAGCTTGCTCCTGGCCCATCTCCCCACTCCTGTTGATTTGAGCCCTCGAACAAACGTAAGCTGTTGCATTTGAGCCCCACCACGTAGCACTGCTTTCTCATGGATTGTTAGACTCCAGGAGATTTTCTAGAGCCAGTTAAGTTAGAGAACCACATCTTCCTGCCTTTCCAGTTCCTGATATGCGAGAAAAGATCGGCGAAGCCAGCATTCGATGAGATCAACGTCCTGGCGCCTCTAGGGACTGACACGAACTATCTAGCTCATGTTGGCGCCAGAAGCTGCGAGGCGCCGCTTCCATTTCCTTCGCACACCTCGTGGCTCGTCACTCGCGGCTCGTCACTCGTCGTCCGACGCCCTGGTCGGCCGTCGCTCGCGACTGCCGGAGTGCAGATGAAGCAGCCGGTGATGGCTTCGCACCGGGACGTTCTTTGTTTTTTGGGCTCGTAGGCGTTGAACAGAATAGACCATATAGCTGGGAGGTCAACCGAAGAAAAAGGCCTATGAATGCCTAGATTGGGGCGTCTCACTGTGAGAGCCCACAGTCGGAGCTGGTTTTCATAAAGTTGAAATGAGGGAGCTGTCACTCAAGCGCTTGAGTGAAGTTCCAGACATGGAGTGCCCCCCTTTGACCTGGAGCTCACCCTCCATCTAGTTTCGTTTCAATACGGTGATTTGATTCAACTGCTGTACTTCTCGCAAGCGTTCAAATTCTTTGCAGCCCCTTGCAATCTTGAGAACTTTAAGTTTGGCTTGAGCACAGGCTCTTCAAGAAGCGTACAATTCGGGTCCTAAGCTTTCAAGGCTTGCTTGACGTGTCCGGCGTTTCTCACATCGGCCACGCGACCGAAGCATGTTGCGACCGAAGCGCGGCCATGAAGCTACGCGACCGAAGCGCGGCCTGCATGGCCTCGTGATGCCGACCCTGGGTGTCAATTCCTGGGCAATTCCTCTATGGCCGAGGAAGAGCTGAGCGTGCCATGTACATCAGAGGGAACAGCTGCATTTTGATGTCCCTTAGTTCCTGATGAGTGGACGTCGATGGATTAAGAACTTGGAGTGTCTTGAGACGATTCTCGTTGTAAATCACTTTGACCAGTGCGATAGAGACACTGCACTGACGAGGGACGGTGCCCACGGTTCTGAGCGTCACATCCGGACCTGCGCTTCACATCCCCAGCTTTGAGTGTCCCAGAGCAACCAGCACGGTCAGTCTACCAGACACTCCTGGACACCCAACGCGGCCACCCAACGCGGGCATCACTCAGCGGCCCACTCCGAAGACGAGTAGGTGTGATCGACGAGTAGGTTAGGTGTCGAAGCAACGAAGAGGCAGATGATGTTGGCCTCCTATTGGAGCCCGAGGTCACCCATGCGGTTCTTGCCAAAGACACATCGAAAAAGACACATGGCGCCTGAGGAAGGGAAGCATCCCTGTATGGATCATGTATCCAGCGAGTTGATGGGGGTGTAGTCGTTTTGGAGATTGAGCTCTGTGTTGAATTGTTTCCATTGATTTAGGTTTTGATTGGTTTCAGATGTATATATGTTTCTGCAATGTTATGTCCCAAAAGGATTTGAAGGAGGGTTACACACACACAAATTTTCCAATGTGGAGTTACTGCCACATGGTTCTCCTGGATTAGAAGTTCCAAATCCCTCGTCCCTCTGGTGTTCTCAGATCCCTTCGAAAAGACAGAGGCCCCAGGGATGACAAACAGACCGGGTGTACAAGTGTTCTCGCAGAGAAGAAGGTCTCACAAGCCTGCTGAAGAGGCTAAGGAGAGTGTAGTCACTGCGATTCTCAAGTGAACCTGGAATATGCATGAGTTAAACTTTAATTCGGCGCGAAGCTATCGCGCCGAATGGGTGTCTACAGCAGTTGACGGAGTTTTACTCCTTCATCGGTCTCAACTTGGGCAGCGGGAAATTGGGTGGGACCGTGACCGCCCGATATTCCACCACATCAAATGATGCGTAACATACCGTACCGCGGTACAAGTGGAGGGTTACTTACTGTGAGACATGTCATGAACTGATATCCACAACCAGCTGGCATCGTTTCCATCCAAAAAACGTCCTAAACCGTTTGGGTCTGCAGCCCCTTTGAGGCTTGGCACGGCTTTTACTGTCACCACTGAATGACTCGTCACATGTGAAAATCCACCACACCACACCAAAGAGCCATCTAACACCAACACCCTTCTGCAGTGCTGCAGGCAAAGACCTGGTGGATGTTTTTCACTGAAAAGACCTGGCCCAGTTGGCGCCAGTGACGCGTACGCCGAAACAGGGCCCCGACTCTTGGACCAGCAACGGGGGCGTCGAGCGAATGGCCGCAGGGTCGAGCGAATGGCCGCGCCATGTGCTGCTCTTGGCCAACGTTGCGGACGTTGTGGAAGGTGCGCACCAGGCTGGTGTTCCACTGATTCAAACGGAGCTCAGTTTGAGAGGAACACTTGTTCAAATGGCCGTGTGATTCAACTGTTTGGGACTGTGTGGGACTGAGGTATGTCGGCATAACCCAACCGTTTTCTTCCCTAAAAATCAGGCGTATGTATTCTGGGGCAGGCCGCAGGCGAAGGAATCAGATCTCTTGAAAAAACCCGAGCACTTAGGTTGAATGAGACCATCAAGCAATCCGGGTTCTTGCTTGTACTGTACTAGTTACTAGTAATCTGCAACTGGCTTGAGCCTAAGTCTTTGCTTTTCCAACATCAGGGCAATGAGCAAACCATTTCTGAACACTGTGCGTGGACACAAGACAGGCATACACGCAGTGTTTGCCCAAAGCGAACTGGTATTTTTTTGGAATGTATTTCACTCTTCTTTTTGTTTCTTGTTTTTCTCATGCTTTTGATGGCTTCTGTTGGCTTTTGGAGCTTTTGGTGACCTCGGTTGGCTTTCGTGCGGCTTTGGGTGGCTTCTGTTGGCTTTTGGCGGCTTATGGTGGGCTACATTGTCCAGAACACGCAGATTGAGAATCTAGCGGTCACCCACTATCAATTGGCAACTCTACATCTTAATGGGGAAGACAACAGCCTCAGCAGTCACAAAGAAAACAGACTCGAAAGTTGGCCACCTGAAGCAGCATAGTGCTCACAACACTGGCTGCATGCAGCACACCTGAAGCAGCACAGCGCACACACGGTGCTTAAAGCTGTGGCTTTGTGTGCCAATGGGCGGGGCGCTGCGCCCCCCCCCCCCAACCCCCAGAACCGCGAAATCTGCACGGAGTGCCACAAATCTGACCTTTTGTGGAACATCTCTATTGCACTTTGAGGTCTCGCACCACAAACCCTTGTTTACGTGAGTGAAGGCGTCCACGCCCGAGCAGAACTAGATTCTCAAAAAAACACAGAAACAAATCCTAAAAGAAACCGGTGGCCTTGTCCAAAGGTTCAAGCAAGAACATGGTCTACCCTGCATCCTTCACCCCACTCCACTTCAACCACGAGCTTGTTGCACTTCCATTCCACTTGTAGAAGGGGGCAAATTCGTCGAGCCGCCGAGTCGAATCAGAACATTTGAGCACACTTGGTCCTTCACTACTTACCAACAACAAATCAGACCGCGGGAAGGACCAGGGTGACATGACTGAAGACCATACAGATTCAAGTCTTTATTCTTTGGATTGTCACTATGAACAACCCGATAGGGACCAGGCCACGGACAGACTTGACTAGATACTTTGGAAGGATTGACGGACAGTCCATCATATTATCCGATCCGATTTTTGTTCTTGGGACAAGGGGGCTGCCATGGTTTTCAATTTGTGCACTCGATTTCTTATCCATCACCAATGAGACTTGCCATGAAGTGCTGGGTTACCATTGATTTATTCTTCCTGACTGGTTTCCCTCATTCTTTAGCTCTGGAAGCACCCGGATAGCCTACTAGCCCAGATATGCTCCGAAAAAGAACGGTGCCAGGTCTGAGTTTCCTTTTTCTATGAAGATCAGATCTGCTTCTCTGCCGAAAAAAGCACACCAGTCCCCACCCACGCCGGAACCACCGGCCACGTCCGGGTGAGCTCGGTGCGCGTTCAGGCGGCTGGGCACGGCGCGTGCGCCGAAGCCCAAGGGCCTCGATGCAGAGCGTGCGGAGCACGGGGCCGTGGGGGGGGGGGGGCAGAGCGGCGGTGTACTGCAGGGGGTGGGGGCTTTGGTTTAGGGGAGCATTCGCTTGGGTCAGTTAGTTCGGGTCTTTGTCCTTGGGTCGCATATGCATATCAGATTATCAGCGACACACTCCGGGGAGATCAACGTGTTAAAGGTATGCTGCACGATGGCCCGCAATATATTCGCGGAGAGTTTGTGCCAGAAGCCAGGTGGACTCGAGGGAACAAAGCGGAGGGCGCCGGTCTCCAAGGTAAACACGTTTCACACTGGAGCCAGGACCAGAGTTGTTGCCTCTGGGCAAGAACCACATGAGCTAGGATTACAACCATCCAGTATCAGTGTATAGCGGATTTTCTACCAGGTCTTGGCGGTGGCTCAATTTTGCCACTCGACGCGCCATGTGCCACCTGTTGGGGGGGCCACACATGACAAATCTTCTCAAGTTGCAGCTTAATCTGCGCAGTTCTTGTTGGAATTCCTTGATTTCCCACTCCTTGAGACATCTAAATCTATTTTGACCAAAGGACAGCTCTCTGAGACTGAGTTTCTGTCGGTGGATTGGTTAGCTTGCTGTGGGGTTGACTTTGAGGGCCGTCCGTTTGGAACCAAAGCCGTTTGGACGTTCGGTGCAAGCCATCACAAGACCTCCGAAATACACAAGACCTCCGAAAGCGCACAGGGCTAATGAAACTCCCAGAGGGCTAAGTCTGGCTAAGTGAAGCTCCCACCTCTCGCTGGAGAATCCCAATAGGAAGACTGTCAAGGCAGTACGTTCAATAATAGGAATCATTGAATGAACACCGGTGCCTTTTGCCCAAGACACTCATCCAGGGATCATCACTTCCCGAAGAAAACGTGCTTCGGATTGTGTTGCGTGTTGGCGACAGCAAAGCTGCGGTATACCGGTGGTCCCACAGCAATAAGGCTCAAAAGAAGAAAGGCCCCTAAAGAGCGAGCTGGGTTTTGCCCACAAAAAAGACTGCTTCATTTGTAGCTGAAGCCTGCTTCACTTGGAGAACCCGTCCAATGAAGGTCTGTGGCATTTTGAGTTTACTTCTTTTGAGAACTTGTCCAGTGTGGCTGCTATGAACCAGCTACACGAACTGGGTCCCTTCCGGTGTCCAAAAAGCCGGCCAACTGGGTCCCTTCTCCCTCCGGGTGCTGGAGTGTGCTGGAGTGTGCTTCAGCCTCCTCGCGGGCGTGTGACTTTTCAGGAGTGGAATGCACATCTCACCACAGTGGGCCGCCAGAAGCATTGGCAAGTGGCTTTGGCCCTGGCGGAGGAGATGCAGACTCGGTCCCCCGAAACAACGCGCGGGGTCGTCGCGAGGGAGACGGTGATTTTTGCGAGCTGCCCAGGGCCATCGGGGTGGTTCTTGTGGAGCTGTGAGTCCAAGATTGCATCCACGTTTTCCTTTTTTTCCTGCCTCCCCAAAGTGGGTCAACATCTGGGTGAATCCCGACAAGGGTCCTCAATCCCTGGGCGGTCTTTCCACGCTTCTTTCCACGAGCAGTCTTTCTTGCGAAACGATTCTCTGAGGCTGCAAATCTCCTGGGACAAGTTTACCTTTAGTGCCCTTATCTCAGCCTGCTCAAGCAGTTCTGTTCCAGGCTGGCGTGCGACCAGGGCCATGATGGGAGAAGTTCTCTAAAAAGCCAAGCACTTCGGACGAACGGTTCACTCCACATCTGCAGGCTCTGGAGCATTGCAAGTATTCTCACCTGAGTTTCTGCCAGGGTTCGACCAGTTGAAGGCTGTTCCTGCAGCTGTTGCGGCTTTTCAAGTGGTCCGATGGATATAGTTCACCTGCCCAAAGATTAATGTCTCATCGGCAAGTGCGCAAGTGCCAATCGAAAAACGGATAGGTGAATGCATGATATTGTATTATGATAATGAATCGCCCGGTGGTGTTTCAGATCCTGTGTCAGAATGAACCAGGTCCCTTGTTGGGGCTGAGCCATTCCCACGGTCCAAACGCAGTGCTTGGTCTCAGTCAGCCTCTTCCAGACTCTGCCTGCCAAAAACTTCCGAGCACCACAGACCGGTGAACTCCTCATAGCCACTCATCCGACCTTCTCATGCCCAGCTGCCATGAACTGTCCACCCCGGACATGGCGGTCTGCGGTTCCGGCGTGAATGCCCCCGGTCGAAGGCGCTGCCTTGGCGCTGTTGGAGGCCATGCCCAGGGCCCAAGTGCCGCCCAACGCCTTTGCGTTGGGCGCCGCGGCCGCGGCCTGCGCCGTGGATGTTGAAACACCGTGACTGCCTGGGAGGGAGACTGCTTTGGGGCGTTGGAAGAAGGTTGGCATGGAGAATTCATCATATTAACTTTTTCGAAGGATTCAGACTTTAGAGGCATTTTGCATGATGTTGCGCAAAAGAATGGGATTTCTGAAGAAACAAACCATCTGAAACTTCCGGGAGCCGGAAGTCAGTTTCTCCTCCGTGGCAAGCTCTTTTGAGCGATCGAGATCTTTGCGACGTAGCGTTTAGCTCGTGTTTTCGGACGCCCGCCTCGCCAACTCGGCCACACCCGGCCAGGGTTCCCCTGGGTTTGCTTTGTAGTGGTCCCCCGAATTACTGTAAATATATAGATAGTTTCCCAAACATTTTTGGTGGGGATCCGGGATCAGTCTACTTTTCGATCAATTTTGGAGGTCTATAGAATCCATTCCTGCATCAACCCCGCCCAGAAACTTTCTGGATTGAAACCACAGACAGGTTCACCGTTCCTCCTCCAGTCGTCCGGCCGCTGCGAACGTTGGACCAAGAACCCTCCCACAGTGTTTGATCATCCAGTGTGTCAGCCGGTGCCAGCCACTGGACTGGAGATGAACAGCCACTGCCGGTGCGCACCACGGGGAAACCCCAGGTGTGCGCGGCCAGTGGTGGCACCAAGCACTTGAGCTCGTCACGGTGGAGATGCAGCAGCTGAAGTTGAAGCAGACCACGGTACGCCCCGCGCGGACCGCGCGAGTCGGGGCTCGGGGTCGAGGTCTGAAGGGGTCGTTGCCCAAGCTTTTCAAGCCCCAGAAGGGCTTGATTTTGGTTGAGGTGTCGATGGGCTTCCGGCTTCCGGCTGATTCACTGGTTTGACTGGGTGGTGAGAGCCGTTTGACACGTGGTGAGCACGCACCTTTCGAGCCATTTACAAGAATCCATTGGTGAAAGCTGGCTTGAGTGACCCCAACGACATGTACAATAGATGCGTGAAACATCCCAAATGAAGCATGACAAAAGATTGTGCACACTTGATTCAGTGGACGAAGAAGAATCAGGAGCTTCAACTCGCATGATTTCCAACTCGGGTGCGCTAAGTCCGCAGGACCCCGCCGCCTTCAGGCGGCTGCCCGCTAGGGCCGCCGACCACGTGTAGACCGACCGCGCAGGGAGAACGCGCGGGTAAACGGGCGTTTCGACGGTGAGGCTCTTGCGTACAAACGCGCGCGCCAAAAGGAACACATACAGTACTTTGTCACAATCTGCATGTTTTAAACATGCTCGTGCCGGTACTTTCCTTCCTTCAAGATGACTTAATATTGCCCAAAGGTGCGAGCTATGCTGCCCAAGTTGACTGGCATTACTGGCATTTTCAGACTCTGTTGCTGGTTCTGGTCACAACAAGAAGAAGAAGAAGAATAAGAAGAAGAAGAAGAAGAACAACAACAACAACCTTTCCCCAGAACCGACGTGTCTTTGCCCATGTGCGTTTTAGAGCCTGGGTGCTGGCGCTGGTGGAGGGCGCTGCAGTGTGCTGTCCACAAAAAAACACAGTTCTTGAGAAATAAGTGTGTGTCTCACCAAGTCACAGTCATGTCAAAGATGATCAGCACTTTCAGGAAAGGGGATTTAGTGAATTTAGTGACCATCATCATTCACACTTCCTGCATGTTATTGCTCATTTCTGCGGGATGCTCGCGCAAACACCACCCGTCCGGTCACTCGGTGTTTTTGGCTGGGTCGCCGAACCAGCCCGCGGCTTTTGGCAGGTCACCTACGGCACCGCTGTGAACGCCTGTTCCGTGGCCGCCTGGTGGGTCTCCTGGCAGAAGCCGCCGGTGGGTAGGGAGGGCAGGTGGGTGGAACGGCTGGCATTTGGGTTTCCGATGCTCCAGAGCCTGGTATTATTGTTGCCTCGAATTCTTTGGGTCTAATCGCCTTCTTTCCAGCGGTTAGATGGTACCTTGCATTCTCCACCACACCACTGAGTGGCTCACCTTTACTATCTGTGGGGGATTTGGGTTCGGCTGTTCGAACTGGACATGGACAGTGTATTCCAGGCTCAGCCTCAGAGAGAGAGAGGGGGGGGAGAGAGAGAGAGCTTTGCGCAAAGCGTGTTAACTTTACTGAAGTTCCAAGGTCTGGGGCAGCCTAAGTGAAAAAAATGCCTGGGTAAAGGAGGTAGCATGTAATACGGTCCAAAAGGAAAACGGTCGATCGACGAGCGCATGACTGCAGAGTGCGTTACCACTTTACATCGACCTGGTTGACTTGAAACAGGTTGAGCAAGGGGAACTATAGGAGCCAAGTCTGTGCGTCCACAGACTCATCCACTCTAGCTTCGTTGGCTAGCGTCGATAAATGGGCCGCTAGCCACCTAAAGGTAAACTATGAGTCCAAGGTTTTCACACACACAGACACACAGACACCGACACACACACACACACACACACCGTGGGAGGCAAGCTTCTCTCCAACCCGCAGGTGTGAGAGAGAGAGAGGAAAACAGCAGCATGTTCCCAAGTGCTTTCAGGTATGAACTAAGCATCGAGGGACGCTAGGGTCGGCGCGAGACCCACTTCAATCTCTACAAAAGCCTGCGCCGCTGTGTGGCCATATATTCGCTCTAGTAGTATGCCTAATGGCTAGCTTTGCCCGCTGAGTGCTACTCATGTCCTACGGACTTTTGGGCTAAAACGTCGGTTAAGACTTGCCGACTTGGATAGTGATAGAGCTTGAGCAGGCTGAATGCCAGGAGTAGTCCGCAGCGGACCAGAGCAGCCCGCCATTTTGGCATGGCGCAGCTAGACCGGTCGCGGTTGATTTCGGTCCGTTCGGACCGGCCCCCACCTCAGATGCACATACAGCACTCGCCTACACAAACGAAGCGAGGTTCACCTAAGTTCATTCAAATGGGCGTCATTCGTTTTCGATCCTTTCATCTGTTTCCCTTTCACGTCTTTTCCCCTTCCACACACTTTTCCTCTCTTTTGTTTCATGTCTTTTCTGCCTTCATGTCTGATCATTTCCATTTTCTTTCTTGCGCGCGCAACGGTCTGGCCCTGAACGCACACGTGCACTTCTACTTCCAAACTAAGTTAGAAGAGGCACAGGTTTTGATAAGGAGGTTTGGCTCATTGGTTGTCCCTGTGCACCTGGTTTCCTTTCCATCGGCAACACGTACTTTAGTCTTGTGGCGTCCTCTTGCCATAGCTTCTCTTTGTCCCACTTGCGCGCTGACATGTGCACGTAAGCTGGAGCCCTATTTGATCTTTCGCCCCCCCCTTGTGTGTGAGTGTGTGTCAAAACTTTGGACCCATAGGTCACCTTTAGGTGTTTTTTGTAGTGGCCCAGCAACAAATTTCTCGACTCTGGTCTGTGGACGTGCAGACTTGTACCTGCTGGAGAACACATGACTCTTGCTCAGGCTGTTTCAGGTCAACCAGGTTGATGTAAAGTGGTAACGCACTCTGCAGTCATGCGCTCGCGAGCCATTCGAGTTTTGAGCCTTGGCAACTGTTGGAAACCTGTCGAACTTGGCATACTTGTATCGGAAATGTGCGAATGTTCTTTGTAGCTAATAATTAACAATCTCGACCCGTAGAGGTCTTCGGACTCTTGCAGCATGATTCAGGTCCGTCGGAGCGTACTTTGTCTTGAATGTAAGTCAGACGGGACAGCAACGTTCCCTGCATTAAAAAAACGACCTGCGTTCTCCGGTGCCCAGGAGAAGTCCTTGGCGTTGCTGGACAACCTCCAGACGGAGCGACTCAGTGCCAGTGCCGGGGAGCTTGTCGGGCCCTGCCCGTAAGGTTTCCAGTGGGAAGTAATCTCTTTTGATCAAAACTTGGAGTTCCCTGAAAGAACCAGGTTTAGTATGTCGTTGCCCAGAAGTGCCGGCCGGCCCAAAAACACTGTTCTGGGTGGGTGCCACCCACTTGTCTCAAGTCCACAGTTGGTTGAGTTGTGGTGCTCGTCCGGATGGAGGTGGGGATGCAGGGGATGTGGCCCGAAAGCTTCTGAGCCCCAGAAACCACCAGGTCATCCTGTGCAACAGCGTGATCCGCAGCTGCGAACGTGCTGGACGCTGGCTGGAGGCGTTGCAGCTGTTGAAGGCGACTCCAGAGCGAGATGTAGTGGGCTACTTGGCAGGCAAAACATTGATGTTCTGAGGGATTTGAAACTGAACCTGAGTGAGGGGTTTCTAATTGCTCTCTTTTTAACTTTTAGAGATTTCACGATGGGTGCAATTGTTCTATCAGCTTTGCACTGCTATCTTGCACGATCATGAGTGGAAGGGTCGGATCAGGCTTAGTTGGAATTAAGTTTCAATCTATGTTTTTCATTTTTCCTGCTACTGGGGTTATGTGGGGTTCTGTCATGCACAGACCTTCTAGAATGCGACAGGACACAATGTGGCTGGTAGTGGATAGGACATGGGGCGGTGGAAGATTCCATCTTAGTTGAATCTCTGGGGCTGAATCTGCGGTCAATCCAACTCTTGTAATTGCCAACATTGGCCTCGTTTGCCTTGTGGGCTACAACATTGCCCTCCAACATCTATGAGTGGACAATGGTCGCTTGGACGACTTTCTTCTCCGGGGCCGCCTGTGATGATTCTTCAGGCAACCCTTTGCTCCTAGTAGCTTCTTGCTCCTAGTAGTAAGGCAGGAGCCCCTAGTAGCATCCTTGCTCCCAGTAGCTATGCCCTCTGCTCCGTTCGTAGCGTCCTTGCTCCGTCTCACTCTCGCGTTCATCCCGTTGGCTTCGGGGCTGCTCGTCAAGACCGGTCCATTCTTTCGGTGGACGTTGGGACGTCGGGACCCCCAAAACCGGCGCCGTTGGGACGTCGGTGGGATGTCCTCCTGGGCGCCCCACCGCAAGCAGTTGCCTTCGACTTCAGTCGGCACGTGTTCGTGAAGTCGCCAGACCATGAAGTCTACAACATCTCAGGTCCTCAGGTGACCCACTCAATGCCCGGCACAGAAAGACGGTGTATTTTGATGTATTTTGTCAATGTCAAAGCAGCAGAGTTTATTCAATCCTCATTTGGCCACGGCTTAAAACGATGCTCCAGAAGCATCAGAACGATCGTTGATTTTTGTAGAGTATCCAGGACCAACGCTAGTTGCTACCACCACAGGGTGCGGGGCAACCGATACTTAGAACATCTTAGAACTTGCCCTTCAAGACTGACAATCCGGGCAAGTGGCACAAGCGGCGTCTCCGCAAGCAAGGCACACATCAAACTGAAATCCAGTTCTACTGTGCAAAGCGGCTTAAACCTTGTAGTTTTTTATTCTCAGCAGGCCCAGAGAAATGCATGTGCAAGAGCAAAGGCAAAACCACCTGGGAAAAGACGTCCTTTTTTGATTCTCATCCGCCCAGTTTTCCCAGAAATGGTCGCATGGCTTGGGTTTGAGGTTTCAGCTCGGCCCTGCAAGCCTGTGCCAAAGCTGCGCAGTGGGCCATGGCCTTGGCAGTCTTCGACCAGATACCCCGTGCAGGCGCAGAAGTCTGCAGCTGGGGCAGAAGTCTGTGAGATGGCGTTCAGGGTACAACCAATGTGATGCATGTCGATTGGGACAGGCGGACGCTGATCGGGACAGCGAACTCACACAAAACTCGAATGAATTAAATAGCTTCGTTGAGACGTCTAACCTGCTCAGGGTACCCCTGGAAGAGACCTATATGAAAGCTGACTGGTGAGACGTCTGACGCCTGTTGTTTTTGTGCTTCGCAGACGGGGGCTTCTTCTTCGGGTCGAGCAGATGAGAGCCGGAAGACACGTCGCTGTTGGGACAAAAAGTGCTTCGAGTCAAACGGAGCGAAAAAGAAGATCCCGAAGACCCCAGGTCTCCTGAACATTCTTGCAGGTCTTCGTCAGAACCTGCACGCGACCACGGGCGCCATCATTGCGGCAGGCTCTTTTTACAGCATGTTGGAGGGCAGGTCAGTCTCTAGCAGCCCTAGCAGCTTCGAACTGGAGCTCATCGGTCATTCAGTGGAGAAAACATATGGCAACATAGACCCCACACAGTTTCAGCATTATATTTTCAACTCTTTGAATTCAATTGTCAATTGTTGGTGGTAACGTTTGTGATTAGCTATTGTATATTCCCGTACTGTAGTAGCATGTAAACAAACAGGTTGAAGCGTGCTTGAAAAAAGACCGTTCCTGATTCCCGGGTCACACGCGCAAAAACGGAGGGATACGTCACGAGAAAATCTGATGATATCAAAGTTGCATTCATAGCCACACAAACATATACCCGGACAAGGTGGTTGAGCAAGGGAACGCGTGGCCAAGCAGGGGACAGGGCCCGGTGATAAAAGAGCCGCCAGCGCGGACAATCAGGACAGACCCAGACAAGCGGCCAAGCAGGACACACAGACCCGGACAAGGCCACAGTGCGGGGCCAAGCATTGACACACAGATGCGGATGCGTGGACAAGGAGGACAAGAGGACCAGAGAACAGCAGGAGGGCACCACGAGGAGTGACAAGAGGAGGACACAGGATTCGCGAGCGCGGCCAGACAACACCATCAACCCAGGGTTCAACGGCCAGAGACTGTGGATGAATCAGGGTGCTTCAGCGTGATTAGGGTGTTGATTCCTCCTCCTGCTTCAGAGTGACGGGCACCGGCGCGGACCCAGGGCCTCACATGTCTGGGCCCTGACTGGCGACTGGGCTTGGCCCCTGAGACGTGGGCAGCAACAACAGAAAAGTGCTAAGAAGAAATCAATAACACACCACCACAAACACACATACAGACAGATATATATACGGTATATATATATATACAGTACACACACACACACACCGTCATACACACCAACCAGGCTTTCTTCTCACCTCCGCCAGGTCAAGGTCTACACTGGCTTTCTTCACTTCGATTGCTCCGCTCCCTTGGCACGGTGCCCGGAGGTGGAGGAATCGAGCGATTGGCCCGGACTTGGGTATTGGATGGTGACTAGAAGACTGCCTTGACCTTGACCCGAGTCTACTTCAAGTCTTCTTCATTGGCTTCATTGGTGTAACTCGGAACTTCAGAATCATTGGCTCCATTGGCTCCTGTATGGTGAATTCTTCGATTGGGATTTGTCCAGTGAGTGGTTGACAATTCGCAGGATGTTCCGGAAGGATTTTCAGGCCAAGATCTGACAACAGCAGAGACCTGTGTCAGTCAATGTCAATGTGCCATTTTGTTTTTCCATGTGAGAAACACGCACAAGTCACGGTTGATGCTCATTCCATGAGAGCTCCCACCGAGTTCATGAACAATTCACACATTGTACAGTGTGCCGCCATGTTTGGGAATTGGAAGTGAAGAAGAACAGGCGATTACGCGTGCAAGAAATGATATGGAAGTAAACAACAATAACAAAAACACACACTAGGAGTGACACAGGGGTGGGTTTTTGGTCTGTGAGTGAGTGGATAACAGGCACCCCGACTTCCTCCATTCAGCACCCCGACGTTGAAACGCTGGCACGTTTTCTTCTCTTTCTTCGTTTCCTTGAGACTCCCGCCATGGCGCCGACATCTTCGCTCCACGCTGAACGGACGCCCCCGCTCATCGCGGAACGCTTCGCGGCAGCCTACGAGGCGCGAGCCATGCACGACGATAGGACCCTGGAAGATTTTCCGCGACAAATCCACGGTGCAACTGGGGCTAGTAGTGTTGTTCTTGCGCAATGACCTCACCAGCATGATCATGTGGTAAAGTGATAACTGAGTCACAACAGTACCAGGCAAGTCGCATTGTCATGGTCTGAAGTCCACCTTTTGAGCATCCTTGAAACAGGTGAAGAAGGGCAAAGGTCTTGTCATGGGACCTTTAAAAGAGTTTGGATCTTCCACACTTGTAGCGCACTAGAAATTTCCGGAAGGCTTGGACCCTCTGGGTTTCTTTTCTCGCCGCCTAGCCGTTACTCGTAGAGGCAGGACCTTCTAGTACTGGACATAGACAGACATGATGTTTCTTCTCCTCCCCAAGATCAAGAACTGCAGGAAGCAAAGCGAATGTCTTCCCTTGGACTTGCACCGGAACCCCTAGGAGTCGTGCGCTTGGCGAAACGAAGACGCACCGAGTTTCCGAAGCCCCCAAAGGAAACAGCTGGTCTGACCTGCTCGAAGGCCAGCGGACGGCCGGCTCCGTGCTCGGCCAGCTCCGCACGGTGACGGCCGGCTCCGTGCAGGCGCAGTTGCGGCAGCTGCGACGGCAAGCTGAAGAGGAGCAGCAAGCTTTGCAGGGAGAGATGGAGGCCTTGAAGCAGGCGCGGAAGGACGACACTCCAAGGAAAACAACATAGCCACAGAGAACCACTAGAACTGGAGGGATGTGGAAGGGATGGTCTTCTCTACCAGTCTTTGTTGGGAAGGTGGGGGATGGTAGAAGATTCACAAAAGGATCAGGATGGGAGGCAGAATGACATGAGGTGTCGTCTCTGGACCCTCGGTGACTAGAGGAAGTGTCGTCCAAGGTTTTTCCTCACCTGTGTTTGGCCATCGGCTATCGCCATCGGCTATCGCCTATGGCGATCGCCTATAGCGATCGCTTATGGCGATCTATGGTCATCATCGAATTAAGAACCAGTTTTGGGGTTTCACACAAGTCGTGGATCTCGAGTTCGGGACACGTCGCCAAAACCCTCAGATGGTGGCATGCTGGTGGAGCTTGAAAACACATCCGAGTTTCCTTCCAGAAAGGTTTCACAGCACGAACTGGGAGATTCGGAGGAAGGGATTGGCTGCGGGACTCCTTTTTGAAGCCCACCCCTCTCCCTGGAATCATGGGCCAACGTGGAATGAGTGAAAACCACCGGCGGAAAGGACTTCGGAAAGGGCAGGGTCCTCACTCGGGGCCAGACTGGCATCCACGCCTGGCGCCTGGGGCCGTTTTAGGGAGTGTACCTCTCACAGACGCAACTGGTTGCGTCTTGTGCGCACGAGGCTGCCTACAACGCACAGGCGGCTGCAGCGCAGCACCGCGCACATGTGCACATGGCCTGTCAGGTGGGACCGCACTTTCTGCAGCAGGAACGGAGGGGAAGCTCCAAAATATGTCGGAATCCATCCTTCCAATGCCAGTTGTAACAGAACTGACAGATGTGGGTGTTTATTATTTGCCTTCGAGTTGGTGAGTTGGTTGCGGCCCTTTGAGAAAACACCACTGCCTTGCATATCGCTTCAGGTAAGCAGTTTGGGCGAATGCCGCTCCCTCATAAACTTGTGCTACCTATCGGACTTTTGGGACTGTCATTCCTTGAGGCTTTTCGTTCGTTTATTCAGTGTCTTTGGTCTAAGCCAAAACTTAGACTTGAAATGGCGTGAACCTCTCATCAGGACTCATCATGCAGCCACTGGGACGCGCACTCCTTGTTTTTAAACGGTCAGTTGTTCCCCAAATCAATTCAAAGGGAAGAGCTCCACTGAATTCCCTATCTCGCAAAAGAAACATAAAGAAACCCTCCGCGCAGGCAACTCACTCCAGGTGGACGGAGTTTCGGAGCCAAGGCTTGTCAGCGGTTGGGGAGTCGACCGGCCACCGGACCTTTGTCCAACACAGGACCTGGGCCTCCGACGGCAGCAGCTGGCCGCCGTGACCGGGGAGCTGCGGAGGCTGCGCGCGCAGAGCCTGGTCGAGCAGCAGCGACTGAAGGAGGAAAAGGCACAGCTGCAGCAGGAGCAGCAACGCTTGGCTGAGCTGAGGAGCAAGGTGCGAAAGACTAAAGACGGCCACAGGAAAGGGCTCAGCTTTAAAGAGCTGATGTTCAGCCGAATTAGGGAAGCTACTTTGAAGTGAGCCCCCAGCTAGAAACCTTTGCAACGTTGTGGCATCACGGATTAGTGATATCTCAGCTCATTGGTCAAGCGAATCTCATTGCCTGAGAGATTGAGAATATATGCAACAAGGTTTCTCTTTTCTGGATCTCCTGTCTATGAACCACGCCTGATGGAAGGGTCTCAGCCAGACCCAACGTGCAACTAGCTGATTCGTGCGAGCTAGATCTCTCGTTGCATCGGATCGGTCAGATCCACGAGATCAGTGGGGTACAGGTGCTCATGATCCACTCACCTAGGGTCTAGTCATCCGATGATATCCGCTGAGATCAGTCGTCGTGATCCGATGCCAGCATCCGTGATGCCAGCAGCAAACCTGGGGCCAGAACTCCAGGTCTCTTCAGAAGGACTTCAGCTTCGACATGCCCTGCAAGACGCAGAGCAACGTTTGCAGTATGAGGAGCAGGCGTTCTTGGGGCGTTCGTGGGGTAGGGGATGGTTTCGTTTGGGGTTGATTCGAACATTTCTGCACAAGGACTCCCCACACACCACCATTAAGAGCTTTCTCGGAGGTGCACTGGGCCCCGGCGGTGCACTGGTCGCCAAAGGGTGGGTGGCGCCGTGTGGCACACCGATTGCGGCTCCGCTCGTTCTGCTGTCACAGGTGCAGAGGCATTTGCAGGAGCGCTTGCGCAAGGCCCTTGCAGAGAGGGACCAGGAGTTTCATCAGGTGCCACAATCGCGTATTGGGCGGCGGGTGGATGTGCGGCAGGTGGTTGAACGAAAGGTGTTTGGTTCCAAGTGTCATCTGCCGCAAAAAACGGCTCCAAGATCGAAAAAACAGCTTGTGAGAGGATATTTGAGGGGTTTAGATTGTGTGTACAATATAATATTGGATTGTGGTGGCAATTCCTTGGATGTGAGATTCGTGGTACTGGCGCTTCGCCGGTTGCGAAGATCTTTGGATAGTGCGTTGTCCGGTCGCAGGTCGAGATGTATCTGATCCAAAGGGACCCTCTTAATGCTTTCCAAAGGGATCCAACGAATGTTGGAACACCAGAAACTTCAATTTGGTGCCCAAAAGTTGGTTCTTGACGGCCCAAAAGCAGAATGGCCCCCCCACGGAGCCCACTTTACTCGCCTGAAACGGTTCTACCAAGCCTCAGGTCCAGGTGTTCTCTTTCCAAGGCATCGTTGTTCTGGAGTTCGAATCCAGAAGACGCTGCAGGAAAGCGTTGGCTCGCGAATTGATCACCCTCAGCAGGTTGCATACTCCGGTTCCACTCCGGTTCTGGTGACGCAGTTGACTGAAGAATCTGAGGTGAATTGGTTGGAATCAGGGTGAATTTGGATTGAGAGAACCCCGATGACTTTGGTGATTGATTGAGCCTTCGCTCGTTCAGGGATTGGGTTGAAAACACTAGCGCTTGGAGGGTCTAAAGCGTTTTGTTGAAATGAGTGAGCTGAAACTGAATAAGCAGACTTCTTCGTGTCCCGCAGTTGGCTCTCTCGCGCGACTTGCTTCAAACGGGGCTCCAACGCTGAAAACTTCGGTGGTTTGCTGCCTGGCGACGTTCAGCCAAAGTTCGCTTTGCGTGTTTCTGCCTGGTCGCTGAACTGAGGACATGGCATCGACCTCGCATGTCAAGAAGCCTAAGAGGACGAAGCCTAGTGGTCCGTGTTCTTGTTGGTGGGCGTTGCTTTTCCAGCTGTTGTGTGAGAGACTTTTGTAAATCTAAGGACGCCAATGGCAGCGAACAGTGCCTCGGCGAAAGGAAGTTTCCTATCAGCAGTTCAGCAATATAAACCGAAAGAGGGAAAACTGGATACGCAGCTCGCAGCGCGCAACTCGGGCCGAAAGATTCAGACGCAGTTCTGGCAAACGCTTTGGGGCACCCCCTGTGTGAGGCACTCGATGCCGCAAATGAGTGCTACGATTCGATTATGGACTCGAAGCCGGGTCGCGGCACGCTCTCGAAACAGAAGCGTCGTCGTTGCATGGATGCACGGTTTATGAAGAAACCGTCCGGGCCGGAGTTCTGGACGAAGGCAGGTTTCACTCAGCTCTGCAAAAGTGCATTGCCCGAAGGCTACCGTATACATCGGGAAGCTCTTAAAGTTTTAGA